ACCCTATGGTCGGCCATGACCTCCAACCTAAACCTTATGCTCAGCCATGAACTAACATCTCCTCATATGGATAGCAATACCCACCCCCCCTACCTCATCTCAAGGTCATCACTGACCCCCCACTTCCCACCTCACCCTATGGTCAGCCATTACCCCCATCTCACCTTATGGTCAGCAATGACCTCCGACATGTGGAACAAATCTCTGTCCTCGCCCTCGTCCGTCTCACAGTCTGTCACGATTTGCTCGGCAGTGACGGGCAGTTGGCAGGACAACGATGAAGTCTGGAAACATGCAAAGATTGTAAAACAATCTGAGCTAAAGAAAAGATAATCACATCAGCAATATTGCAGACAAAAAGCAAGACAGACAGAAAGAAACAACAGTGGAAATGGAAAAAAGTAAAAATTTGAAATTAAACTAATTAAGTTCAAACAGACACTCGAAAAACTCCAAGACAATTTAAGTCGCAGATGATAAAAAACTTCTGTGAATTCCCTTCGAAAATCGTTGTAAAAACTGTAGATGTTTTACACCCCTGTGAAAAAACTATCCTCTATATAAACAGTTGTAAATTTTTCAATAAAATAAGCAGTGATTTTTTCAGTTAAAATAGCTGTGAATTTTCCTATCAACATAGTTATGACTTGTTTAAAAAATACAACAAAAAAAACAACCAATTGTGAATTCCCGTATTAAAACAGCTGCGAATTCTTCAGATAAAACAGCTGTAAATTCTTCTATAACTTTAACAATTTTGAATTCTTCTAATAAGACAGCTGTGAAATCTTCTCCAAAACATCACCAAATTTCGTTTAAACTGTAAAAATTTCTAGCTCTGTGTCTTCACCGGCATTACCTGATCTTCCCATACTCCGATACTCAAATCTATCGTGTCAACATCAAACTGAGTCTGATCCCGACTTATTTTTTCCTCGGGCGTTTCTTTCCCCCTGAGCCCAGACATAACTTCCTGAGGAATGTTGGGAAGGGCTTTCAGTCTGTCGACAACGCCGGACACTCCTCGCATAAACATCTGTAAACAGAACAAAAGAAGAATAAGACGGAGGCACATTATTGGGTTCAACTCTTTCCATACTAGACCATTTCCCTTGCTGTGGTCAAGCTATTTTGGTAACCATTTTCCCCTTTCTGTCAGAACAAAAAACAAACAATTTCCTATAATTTTTTAAAGAGAAATTCAAATGTGTTATTGGTAAAAAAAAAAAGCACTGAAATGAATTTCATTTCAGACATTTCAGACATCAGACATTTCAAAGATAAACAGTGACCTGAACATAAACCAGTGGCTTCTGTGAGTCGACTCTCAAGTGGAAAGGATCAAGACTTTGTTAGTGGGGAACATGATGTGGACTTGCCTGCCTAAACTCATACTTTTCCCCTACTGCAGGTGGGGAAGAGAAAGGAAAAGTACACAGGACTGGGCATCATATCAGAGGAAAATTTTAAAAGAACTATTCACTGGTTTTTGGACTCTGATTTCTTCAAAACCTCTGCAACTCAAATTTTAACAAAAAACAAAAAACACAGTAACACCTTCCCTTACTCGTCTTTCTCATCATTATCATTACAATTTATACCAAGTAAACAGCTCTCAAAGACACAATCACAACACAATCATATGAAAGTCCAAAGAGAGAGATGCCTCCCAAGTCCACTCTTTGGTTTACAAAAACTGAGGTCATTATGTCCATGTCCTTCTCTTTACAAGAACAAAACCAAAAAAAAAAATGTCTTTAAAAAGAATTAATCTACATGAATTCTCACCTTATCAAACCTCGGAACAGAGATATCAGGGGACTTTTTGACAAACGCGATATGTGAGTTTCCCTCATAAGCAAGGAATTCTCGCAGATCTGGTCCATTGCACATTGCCTCCATTTCAATCAGATCCTGACAAGGAAAGCATAAAACAGAACGCAACTGTATTTTCAAAGTCTCCTCCAATAGAAAAACACACAGAATAGATTATTTTAGAGTGGAGGAATTAGTACTTTTATTTTCCTAAACAGAAAATGGGAAGGAGAGAGGGAGTGAGTCAGTGAACGAGTGAATAAACAAGTGAGTCGGTGAGTGAGTGAATGAGAGCGTTTGAGTGAATGAGTGACGAGTGAGTGAGTGAATC